AGTGCGGATTACACAATGTTCTATCTGCAAAACGCGGGTTTCGGGACACCTCCAAAGAAATGCTTATTACTCCGTAACCGCTCGTTCTACTTCAGTTTTGGCAGTCAATGATTAAACATTGGACCTTTACGATTCTTGCCGTGTGCTCAGATTGGCCTTAATGTCTTCCAGTTACTTGCAAACCACACAAAGGTAAAGGGCTGCGCTTAACCCAGTTTTGCAGGTAGAACATTGTGTAATCTGCACTCTGCAGATGGAACGGGGGTGGCTCACTGCCTCTAACAATATTGCCTCCAACCCGATTTTTCGATTTCAGTGTCACTTTTAATAATGCCTCCAACGATATTGCCTCTAACCAAGATATATGATTCCCAAGGTGAAAAGTGCCTCTAACAAAATTGCCTCTAACCAAAAATTTCAAAAAATCGGGTGCACAAATAAATAATGCCTCTAAAAAAAAAAATTGCTCTGCAGCTACAAAAGGGTGCCTGAGAGCAAGAAAAAGTCACCGTCAAACGCTGAAGCATGACAACGTAATATATGAGCTAAACTACACCAAAAGTAACCGAGCCACAAGGCGCGCGCAGGCGGGCGCCTGCACACACACACACACACACACACACACACACACACTTGCGCTACGCGTAGGTCCATGCCATACTTAGCAGGCGCGCGGTGGTCGACCGGACGAATGAGTCTGCCTGTGGGTAGGCAACCGCGTGGCTCGTGCGTGGTGTGCGGGCTTGCCTACGCTACAGATCGCAGGCGCGCATGCTGACCTCCTCTTGAACAGGCCCCTCCGCACTCCGCGTTACTCGCTCGCCGCCTGCTGCAGCGACGTGTCCCACCGTGTCCCCTCGACAGGACGCACCTCTCCCTGCCCCCAAGTGTTAACTGACCTCACGGTCGGCAAGCTGCTTGCGGCGCCCTTACCGACCTCAGGATAGGCAAACCGTCCATCTGAATCTGGGGACATTCTGATTCGTAATGGAAACCGATAGACTTGAATGCCTGAGTGTCAGTTCGGGAGAAATGCGAAAAGGTAACTATTGTATCGTGGTCATCTTGACAAAAGAAAACGAAAATGTTTTGTGCTCCAAGACGATCGGAATCGAAATGGCAGAGATATTCCCCACCAAATTGACACTTTGGTCGTTTTTTGGCACTTTTGTCAGTTTGGGGACCAATAACTCTGCTATTTCAACTCTGATCGGCTTTGAGCATAGTACATTTCCTTTTTTATTTTGAAAAAAGAATCCAAATCTTGTATTACACTTTTAATTTTTTAACCTC